GGGGGGGTTGCTTAGGGAATCCGCCATCTTGGATCCAAGATGGCGCCTTAGCAACCCCCTTATCCTACGGCCCTAGATCTACATGTATTCATCATGTGGGGTTTTTAGCGTGTGACGTCATCAATTTTAGTGTAAACCGACTGAATTATCTCCCCCTGTTTCCAATAGGTGTTTATTTTGAGTGTGACGTCATTTTGACGGAATTAACTCCCCTTGTTTCTGACTTTTTACCTTCTGATTTCAGGTATTCTCTCTCTCGGCGACGCTGTTTCGTTTTTTTTCTTCTCTCTTTTCATTTTCCTCGATAATCTTATGCATAAAACATATTTACAAACAATAAATAGTTACAACATGCGTTATTTACAATATAAAATTCACTGCATATTTATAGTGTTTTCGAGTGTGGTATTAAATTGAGGTGAACTTTTTTTTCTTGTAGGAAGTGAGTTTGTCGGTGCTGTAGCAGGTGGTGTTGCGTCCTTGTTTGAACTAAAAATAATAGTTAACACGTAGACAATTCACAATGATACCTTAGCTGACGGTATAATAAAAGAGTGAATTAAGTTATTCTATTTGGACGATTAATATTCTTACAGGGTAGCGTGTAATACTGAATACTGGCCGCTTGCACGTCGTTGTCTATGCATTCTTTGGCGATGTTGTTTCCTTATGCGCTCCTTGTCGTTTGATATGTTTTGTCGTCCTTCCTGTACATGTCTACTTGCCGTTGTATTAATTGCTGTTGGTGGAGGAAGTCGGATATACTGTAGAAAAGTGTGTCGTCTGAGCTTGTCAGAATCGTACGGGAAGCATTAGATGACGAAACGGTCGTCGAACGTGACGTCACTAGCATCGATCGATATCCGCTCTTAACTCAGGCTTCTATGTAAAATAAAAAGAATATTGGAAGACGGACGGGTCAATTTCAGTTTTAAGGGATCAATGACCCCTCCAGGATTATCCCTTGGAAGCATAAACGAAAATAGCTATTTTTTTTCCACGAAAACGAAAGTTTAGATATTTTTATTACACCTCTACCTTATTTACTTTATATAAAAGTAATTGGTTAAATCGAATATATCCCCACTTTTGCCTGAGTGTGTTTTAGTCCTGTGTGTTAGTCTGTGAACTAAAACACACCTACACTCGGGTGTTTCCGCCGAGCCAATCAGGCGAGAGGTGGGCGGAGCTTGTAACCGAACTCGGCAGTGACGCGCGAGGTCGGCGGAGCTTGCTGCCGAACTCGTAAGCATTTGGCTCCATTGCCATCAAAAGGGTATTTGGGACGTGAAGCTATACAGCTTATGGTTTACAAATATTTTCTAGTTAAAACTATCTCTCCAGTGTGTATCGGTATAATAAAACGGTTAAAGTATGGGGTTGAGGCATATATAGCAAGTTTCTGGTGTCCCTTGACCATGCCTATTTCCCTCGGCTTCGCCTCGGGAAATAGACCTGGTCTCGGGACACCAGNTTCTTGTAAAGGGTTGTTTTAAGGATTCCATACTGTAAATGCACTGGTCATAGCCGAAGATAGCTCCTTGCAAGCTTTTAGACAACCCTGTCAATTACCGGTAAAAACTTGTAGCTGAAGTCACTTAACAATTTCTAGCTATTTTTCTTCTTCTTCCATTTACTGCGGCAGATCTCATATATATATGAGTGCAGTTGCCGCAATTATATTTTAAGCTATTCTAACGTCACGCTACCACAATTGGTACAATTTTGACAGTTTTTTAGTGATCTTTAAAAATTCAGATCTTGTATCTGGAATGTTTCTTGATTCTTGACAAAGACTACCTATGGTGGTTCATTTTCAGGAAAAGATTTATATCTAAGTAATTTATTTTTGAAAATAGAACGCTAAACTCGGAGTGAGATTTCGTCCGTTTTTCGGCCGTAAATAGTACCCAAATTGGTACACCATATCACAGGCTATGGAAATTGTTTATATTTCTACAAGTTGATGTGCCGATTACAACAAAATATATTGCTTTTATAGATACCACACTGAACTATAATTGTATATATTCACTTTTATATTATCCGAATATAAGGACCAGAAATCAACATTTAAACATGCTTATATTTAACCCCTTGAAAATCCTCCAAANATCGTGTACTTTTTAAATGTTCCTGAAAACAAAACTATTCGGCAGAAATGCTGATAAATATCTATTTTGATATACTGTCAAAGGAAAATGCCCAAATTTAATTTTAAAGTACTATTTGAACAATTTTCTGACCGTGTACCAATTTGGGTAGTGTACCAATTGTGGTAGCGTGACGTTATAGCCTTAAAACAGTTACGATTCAAGAAATAGTTAGAATTGTCATGAAATACGTTTTAAAGTAAAGAAAATACCTGATAATCGTTGCTAATCGTAGACTGAACCGTCCTTCAAAGCCTGGTTTCGTGTCAACTTACCGTTAGTGTGACGTCATAACCGAGTATAAGAGTTACTTCCCTTCTACCGTAAATGATTTTGGTTTATTTTTTTCATACTATTAAAACATTACATAGAAAAAAATATTAAAAAGTGTTATTTTTCCTTACAAGTTAAGTATTTTATCTTATGAAATGAATTAAATGATTAATTTATCGATATTTTAACGTAAAAATAGACATGTTTTGAATACTTAGATAGAATTAAAACATGATATTAAGTAATATTTGTCCACTTTTGTCAACCTTTGTCGACTATTTGTCCATATTTGTCTATATTTGTCCACTATTTGTCCACTACTTGTACACTATTTGTACACTACTTGTACACTATTTGTCCATGTTTGTCCACACTTGTCCAATGGAAACCCGATTTTCAGGTATCACTGAGCAATGTCTACATCTTTAGCTGATACGGGATGTGTCGTTGCTCAGTGTAGTGTATAAACACCTTTATAGATTAACCTGAAACAAAAGCTTTTGGTATTTACTAACTATAAGTGTTTTATTTTGAAATTAACGTTAGCAATCAGTCAATTCAAACGTAGGAAATAATTTATGAAATTTGTTGATGTACATTGGGTCTTTCAATCTGTTACTCAAGTCTTTGCTAAATAATAGCAGTACTTTAATTCTATAATTTATTATAATACGTGACTCTTTCGTCGCGAAACATGTAAAATACTATACTTAATTAATCTAGTTCATTGCTAACAGTTGATAACATGGTGTTCCAATGTGGGTTTGCACGGACTGTCTTACGAAAACGCCAATTCCTGTAACATTTAATCAAGTAGATCAACATGTTAGTCCATTGTTAAAACTTCTTCAACACACTGGATAGTTGGTAGTATTCCCAGAATGTCATGCATATTCCATGTTTGATAGGTATGACATTGTCGCTGGTGTGACTTCCGTAAAATTTTCTGATGTCTACACATACGTAGGGTCTGCGGCTAGCGATTCGATAGGTCTCTTCTGATTTCAGGTATTCTCTCCAGGGCTTTCTCACCAATGCTTCGTCGACCTTACAAAAACGCCGTTAATAGTAACATGGCAGCCGAATTAGAAAGGCTGTTGAAAGACCAATCGGAGTTTGACCGATCAAATTTGAGCAGCTAAATGCAACGACCAATCATATTTCGACCAATCAGATTTGAGCAACTAAATGCATCGACCAATCAGATTTGAGCAACGATATAAAACACACGATGCTGTGTACATCAATAAATTTCATAAGTTATTCCCAAAGTTTGATGTGACTAATTGTTAGCATTGATTTAAAAGAAAAAGAAAACAAATGTTTTAGTTGGAAAATACCAAACTCTTTTTAGTACTAGTTATATATAAACGCGTTACAAGCACTTCAGCTAAAGATGTAGACCTCACTCAGTGTTACGTGAAAATGTACATCAAAGCACATTAAAAGAATTGCTCAGTCGCGTAACGGTAAAATTGACTGGCTTTGTAGTTGGGTGTCACATCTCTGTACTCCATTTTGTACATTGTAATGTATCTGAGGAAGCCAATAAACTTGAAATTTGTAATCTTCAAATGCCCAGGTATCGATTGGTCAGATTTGTTTTCTTCCGGAGACCTATCAAATTGCTAGCCGCGTGCCTTCAATTTTGCTTTGACATATTCCAGGGGTACAGAGAGCGTATAAGAGAACGTAACCCCTAGAGTATCGAGGATGCTTTGTCCTCACCAGGTCAAAATATAGGCCTTCTACCACCTCCGACTTGAAGGGATTTTTTTTTATATATTTATGCTTGGACCTACTTTCAAATCATGTCGAATATAAATCCTTATAGGAAACAGCAAATACCTCGTCCATAGAATATAAAACTCAAAGCAATATTACTATGTTCAATCCTTGCATGATCACAGGTACTAGCATCGTCTGTCAATACACCCTTAATATATGTTTAGTCACCTTGGTGACAATATCTATGTTTCGGTAAGCAGACCCTACGTATGTGTAGACATCAGAAAATTTTACGGAAGTCACACCAGCGACAATGTCATACCTATCAAACATGGAATATGCATGACATTCTGGGAATACTACCAACTAACCAGTGTGTTAAAGAAGTTTTAACAATGGACTAACATGTTAAGCTACTTGATTAAATGTTACAGGAATTGACGTTTTCGTAAGACAGTCCGTGCAAACCCACATTGGAACACCATGTTATCAGCTGTTAGCAATGAACTAGATTAATTAAGTATAGTATTTTACATGTTTCGCGACGGAAGAGTCACGTATTATAGAATTATAGTACTTGGATGAAAGGGCTGACATGGACATGGATGGAAGGACTGGCATATGGACATAGATGGAGGGACTGACATGGATGGGAGGACTGACATATGGACATAGATGGAAGGACTGACATGGACATAGATGGAGGGACTGACATATGGACATGAATGGAAGGACTGCCATATGGACATGGATGGAAGGACTGACATATGGACATAGGTGGTAAGACTGCCATATGGACATAGATGGAGGGACTGACATGGACATAGATGGAAGGACTGACATATTGACATAATTGGAAAGACTACCATATGGACATAGATGGTAGGCCTGACATATGGACATAGATGAAAGGACTGCCATATGGACATAGATGGATGGACTGACATATGGACATGGATGGAACGACTGACATATGGACATAGATGGTAGGACTTACATATGGACATGGATGGAAGGACTGCCATATGGACAGATGGAGGGACTGACATGGACATAGATGGAAGGACTGGCATATGGACATAGATGGAGGGACTGACACGGACATAGATGGAAGGACTGCCATATGGACATGGATGGAAGGACTGGCATATGGACAGATGGAGGGACTGACATGGACATAGATGAAAGGACTGCCATATGGACATATGGAGGGACTGACACATGGACATAGATGAAAGGACTGACATAAGGACATAGATGGAAAGACTGACATATGGCCATGGATGGAAGGACTGAAATATGTACATGGATGGGAGGACTGACATATGGACATAGATGGTAGGACTTACATATGGACATGGATGGAAGGACTGACATATAGACATAGATGGAAGGACTGACATATTGACATGGATGGAAGGACTGAAATATGTACATGGATGGAAGGACTGACATATGTACATGGATGGAAGGACTGACAGATGGACATGGATGGAAGGACTGACATATGGATATGGATGGAAGGACTGACATATGGACGTGGATGGAAGGAGTGGCATATGGACATAGATGAAAGGACTGACATAAGGACATAGATGGAAAGACTGACATATTGACATGGATGGAAGGACTGAAATATGTACATGGGTGGAAGGACTGACATATGGACATAGATGAAAGGACTGACATAAGGACATAGATGGAAAGACTGACATATGGACATAAATGGAAAGACTGCCATATGGACATAGATGGAAAGACTGACATATGGACATGGATGGAAGGACTGAAATATGTACATGGATGGAAGGACTGACATATGGACATGGATGGAAAGACTGACATATGGACATAGATGGTAGGACTGACATATGGACATGGATGGAAGGACTGACATATGGACATAGATGGAAGGACTGACATATGGACATAGATGAAAGGACTGCCATATGGACATAGATGGAGGGACTGACATGGACATAGATGAAAGGACTGCCATATGGACAGATGGACGGACTGACACATGGACATAGATGAAAGGACTGACATATGGACATAGATGGATGGACTGACATATGGACATGGATGGAAGGACTGACATATGGACATGGATGGAAGGACTGACATATGGACATAAATGGAAGGACTGACATATGGACATAGATGGAAGGACTGACATATGGACATAGATGGAAGGACTGACATATGGACATGGATGGAAGGACTGACATATGGACATAGATGAAAGGACTGACATATGGACATAGATGGAAGGACTGACATATGGACATGGATGGAAGGACTGACATATGGACATGGATGGAAGGACTGACATATGGACATGGATGGAAGGACTGACATATGGACATGGATGGAAGGACTGACATATGGACATGGATGGAAGGACTGACATATGGACATGGATGGAAGGACTGACATATGGACATGGATGGAAGGACTGACATATGGACATGGATGGAAGGACTGACATATGGACATGGATGGAAGGACTGACATATGGACATGGATGGAAGGACTGACATATGGACATGGATGGAAGGACTGACATATGGACATGGATGGAAGGACTGACATATGGACATGGATGGAAGGACTGACATATGGACATGGATGGAAGGACTGACATATGGACATAGATGGTAGGACTGACATATGCACTCATATATATGAGATCTGCCGCAGTAAATGGAAGAAGAAGAAGAATAGCTAGAAATTGTTAAGTAACTTCAGCTACAAGTTTTTACCGGCAATTGACAGGGTTGTCTAACAGCTTGCAAGGAGCTATCTTCGGCTATGACCAGTGCATTTACGGTATGGAATCCTTGCAACAACCCTTTACAAGACATGATAGATGTCTTACAAAATAGATGAATACTTATACATGCAATATGCTTATAGAAATATCTAAACTTTCGTTTTCGTGGAAAAAATAGCTATTTTCGTTTATGCTTCCCATGGATAATCCTGGAGGGGTCATTGACCCCTTAAAACTGAAATTGACCCCTCCGTCTTCCAATATTCTTTTGATTTTACATAGAAGCCTGAATTAAGAGCGGATATCGATCGATGCTAGTGACGTCACGTTCGACGAACGTTACGTCATCTAAAGCTTCCCGTACGATTCTGACAAGCTTAGACGACACACGTTTCTACAGTATATCCTACTTCCTCCGCCAACAGCAATTAATACAACGGCAAGCAGACACGTACAGGAAGGAACGACAAAACATATCAAAAGACAAGGAGC